CCTCTGGGAAATAAAAAAGGGAAAGAAGTCAAGGAAGAATGAGATAGCCTGGGAAAGAGATCTGTCAGTTAATCCATCAGCAAACATTTCTTAAGTGACTACTATGTGGTAGGCATTGTTCTGAGTCCTAGGGAAGAGGATATAGGACAATCTTGATCTTGATCCTTAATGTGCAGGAGATTCGTGTGCTTCTATGGAGAGCTGCTATGGCCAAAGTGATAAGTGAAGACAAATTACTCACTATCCTACAGGCTTAGTTTCAGCTAGGACAAGTTCAACTAGGACATATGGTGAGTAAGAGAAAATCACCTAACCTTTTCATTATATAACAGGATATCCTGGCCCCCACAGTCTGAAGACCATGTAGGTTATATTTCATTCCTCCCTTAGGGTTCTCCAGCACCTCTAAGGGGATTGGTTGGTGTCTAATTTCTTTGACCTTGGCTCTAGCCTTGCCAGTGATGTTTCCCCAAGTATAGGGGGTGAGACTCCTGTATGTAACTTCAATTTAGCCAGTAACAGATTAGTTTTTACAAAGAAATATTTACTTCAAAAATTATAATCACAAATATATAAAAAATCCCCCAACATGCAGGAGGTATAATTCTTCATTCCCCTCTCCATTTGTCTTGAACTACCTCAGTCTCTGGAGAAGGAAAGAGGATTAGGTTCACAACTTAGCTCACTTCTTATAGACCATAGTGCCAGTTTCAAGTCCAAACCTGCTTTGAGCTCATTTGAGGTAGCCTGGATTCTCAGTGTTTGCTTTCATGCCAGGTTGGCTGGCTACCCCGACCTGCCTGTAATCATATCTTTAAAATTGTCACCATGGTTCAAATACCTGAGTCCTGTGAGGATTGCTGGTGGGGCACCTGAAACATAAAACCTTACAGAAATAATAATAATTATAGGTAACATTTGCATAATGCTTTCAATGTTTCAGGCACTGTCTAAAGGCTTCATAAATATTAATTCAATTAACTCTTACAACAATCCTGGGAGGTAGTTACTATTATTACGCCCATTTTACAGATGAGGATACTGAAGCAAGCAGAGGTTAAGTGACTTGCCCAAGATCACATAGCTGGAAAGTATCCAGGGCATAATTTTAACTCAGATTTTCCTGACTCAGGTCCAGTTATCTATCCACTGCACCACCAAGCTGCCTCTTATGATCACTCTCAGGCCCATTTCTCTGAGCTGAGATAAAAGAGGGAACTGGGGAAGGAAGTCTTTCCCCTCTCACTCTTTGAGTTGAAGGTGCCTTTACTGTGGGTGAATTGTCAGGAAGAAATGAGAAAGGGAGAGAGAGAGACAGACACTTCCTTAGTCTTGCCAGTTTTAAAGAAGCAGCTTATTCCAGTTAAGCAGCCAATCATAAGAGGCTACCCCACCCACATAGTAGGAGATGCAGAGGCCTCCATAACAGGCAATCTGGACACATTTCAAAACCTCTCAGCCTTCCTCCATGTTTGGCAATTTGTGCATACCCAGACAAACCCAGGTGACACTTATAAACAGTGTCATTGATTCATATTGCTGAACCTATCATAATAGTAACTCACACTTACATGGCAATTTCCTTACAACTGAAGCCTAGTGATGTTGTGACATATTTACACTCATATCTATTTAGTGTCTGTGCTGATAATCAGACCCAGTTCTTCTAACATTGACTTCATTGTGGTTTTTCCTATACCATACAACTTCTTTTGAAAATACTGACTGCCCATACTGCCTGCTTTACAGGTGGAGTGAAAGGCCCCAGAATCCTTCCATTTCCTACACTGATTATCTGCTAATTAAATTTATTTTTTAAATGAAAAAAATTATAAAACTTCTCTTCAGAAAGCACTATTCAAACCCTACACCCTGTTCCCTGGGTAGCAATCACCATGCATCTCATTGGAGAGAACTTTAACAGGTTTAGTGAATTACATAATTCTGAAAATGTGCCCCTTTCATGTTCATTATAACTATCACTCATTTCCCTAATAAGGACTTTTTAGTTATGCTTAACAGTTTATTAATGTAGAAGTTGTGAATGTGTATTTTTATGCCTACTCCTTTTGTGATATCCTAAACTTAGAGGTTATCTAAGTACAAACCCCACTAAGAGAAGACAACCAGATAGGCCACTTGATTTCTAGATGTCAAGGACCTGGGATCATTGAAAGCCCTGCACAATTTCCCGAGTGGGATCTGATATCTAGTGATTCTCTTTCTCTATTTGGTTCTGGGCCTTGCTCATTGTCCATCTTCGATGGGCTGTCCATCCATTCAACTGAATATGAGACTCTTTGTGGCATACAATATTGGGGGGGGGTGTATTGCTAGGACTATTTTGTTGGAGTGTTGAAGAGGTCTTATAATATTCTCAAAATTGGTGAAGTCAGCAAAATGTCATCTACTAATGGGAACACATGGACCTCACCAACTCTGACAACAAGCTTTTCAGTGATGTGAAAGTCCACCTTTTTAACAACAGTGTTCTCCTTGTGATGTTTCAATCACAAATTCAAATAGTGAAACAGAATGATCTCAGAAGAATCCAATTTACAAGTGATTCAAAGGACAGTGAGAAAATGCAGATTGGGTATAAGTAAACCAGATATTACCAGCGAGATGAGAAGTTGCCTAAAAAACATTATTAAGAATGTGTATAATCAGATAAGAATTTGGCTTTGTCTTACAATGTGAATGAAGGTTATCAGATAAGAAAACTGAGGCTGCGCTGGTATTCACAAAATATGAAAAGAAACAGAGGAAGACTATCAGTAGACAAAGTCCTTGAGTCATATATATTGATCCTAGATGAGCTATTTTTTTTTACAGGTTAGAGCCTCTAAGTTTAAAAATAAAAGGAGTATGGAAAGCTAAAAGTTAACAGAAACAGCCAATGCTGTGTTTGTTGGTGCAGATATGGAGATTGCTTAAGTACAATCAATAGACACTTATAAAGTACCTTTTATACGCCAGGCACTGTGCTAAATTCTGGAGAAATGAAAAGAGGCAAAAGATAGTCCCTGCCTTGAAGACACTTACAATCTAATGGAGGAGACAACATGCAAACAAACATATATGAAGCAAGCTACATGCAGGATAAATAAGAAATAATTCAAAGAAGGGAAACACAGGAACTGAGAGATTAGGGGAGCCTTCCAGGAGAAGGTGGGATTTTAATCAGGACTTAAAGGAAGTTGGGGAGATCACTAGTTGGAGCAGAAGAGGGAGAGTGTTTCAGGGTTGGGGGACAACTGGAGAAAATTCCTAGAACCCAGAGATAGAGTATCTTGTTCGTGTTACAGCCAGGATTCCAGTGTCACTGGATGGAAAAGTACTTGTTGGAAAATTAGGTGTAAGAAGATTGTAAAAGTAGGAGGGACCAAGTTTACGAAGGGCTGTGAATGTCAAACAGAGTATTTTGATTTGCTCCTGGAGGCAATACAAAGTCACTGAAGTTTACTTAGCAGGAGGGTAACATGATTGTACCTGAGTTTTAGGAAAATCACTTTTGTGGCTAAATGGACAATGGGTTGGGATGGGGAGAGACTTCAGACACCGACCCACCAGCAGGCTATTGTAATAAAGGCATGAGGCATTGAGGGAGGATGATGGCAGTGTTAGAGAAGAGAAAGCAACATATTAGAGAGTTAGTGCAAAGGGGAAATCGGTAGGCCTTGGCAATAGCTTGGATGCCAGGTAGTGAGAGGAATGTGAGGAGTCCAGGATGACTCCTAGGCTATGAGCCTGTGGTACTGGGAGGATGGCATTGCCCTTTACAGTAATAGAGAAGTAGGAGGGGATGATGTGGGGGAGGAGAGTTTAGGGGAAAAGATAATGAATTACATTCTGGACATATGGAGATTGAGATGTCTACTGGCGTTTGATTCAAGATGTCTGAAAGGTAGTTGAAAATGTGAGATTGAAAGTCGGCAGAATGATTGAGGCAGGAAAGGTAGATTTGAGAATCATCAGCATAGATTTTATAATTAAATCCATGGGAGGTGATGACAACACCAAGTGAAGTAGTATAGAAAGAAAAGAGGAGGGAGGGAAGAAAAAAGAAAGACAGAAAGAAAGACAGAAAGAAAGAAAGAAAGAAAGAAAGAAAGAAAGAAAGAAAGAAAGAAAGAAAGAAAGAAAGAAAGAGAGAGAGAAAGAGAGAGAGAGAAAGAGAGAGAGAGAGAAAGAGAGAAAGAAAGAAAGAAAGAAAGAAAGAAAGAAAGAAAGAAAGAAAGAAAGAAAGAAAGAAAGAAAGAAAGAAAGGAAGGAAGGAAGGAAGGAAGGAAGGGAGGGAGGAAGAAAGAAGAATCCAGGATAGATATTAAATTCTCACATTGGGAAGAATCTATGAAATCCAGAATCAAACCTCCAAATGAAGGAGTGAATAAATCTTATCACTTGGCAATCTATCAAGCAACAAATATTTATATTTATAATATCTTTTGTTACTAGCTTGAAACATTTCATTGTCTTGCAACTTAATGCTTTTTGATATTGTAATTTTATTGTACTACTAAAAGCAACTTAAAATTAAGTGAATTCATTCCTCCAAAATCCAGTACAAGAGAGGAAAGAAAGCCATAGGGAAAGGGTGGTGGGTTGGAGAGGTGATAGATGTCTGATCCACATCACTACTGACTGCCCCAAGACTTAGTTCTACTTCAGTGAGCATGAGAAAGAACCCTGGGGATTTCTTTAGCCAATACTTGTCTTAGCCCTGAAAATTCCCCAAGTCTAGCTGATTATCAAGATAGGTTTGTGAAGTCATAGTAGTAAATAATGGCTTTTTCTGTTAAGGTTAGGATTTTGATGATTATTGATGGATTTACAAGTCCCAATAGCTTACTATTTAAATTTATGTTTTGCAATTTAAAGTCATGTTTGGTTAACACACACACACTCACACACACACACACACACACACAGGAGTGCACACACAAACAACCACAAAGATCTATAGATCAGTGTATATAAAGGAATTTGGAACAGAGTCTACTATGCTTTGAATAATGCATGGCATAAATGTCCATTCAATACAGATTCAGGTTACTAAAAACAAAAACAAAAACAAAAAAACCTACTGGCTGTTTGTTTTGAAAAATAAATATTTATTAGGAAAATACATTTTTAAAGATAATGTTTTAGTTTTACAAATCCACATAATAATAGATGGCTCTGAAAAATATATTGTGTCCTTTTGTTCAATTAGGAAACAGAAGGTGTTTAATATCTGAAACAGATGGAAAATTAAGACCAGAACTTGGATTTCCTAGACTATTATGTTACCAAATTAGTTGACTAATTAGTAACCAATTATCAACTAATTAGTTGACATGTAAAGACTTCCTGAAAGGAAGAAAAGCCTTAACCTTGTTTGTGTTAGAATAGTTAAACTTCTTCTTCCTCTCTTTCTTCCTCTCTGTGTGCCCTTGCTCCATTGCTGCTGATCACAGCCTTTCCACACCAATTCTAAGTGACTCTTATCCTTGCTTTTTCTCGAATTCTTTCAAATAGAATGTGTCCCAGGGATTAGATGCCTTCTTCTGGTTCTTTCAACAATTTGTGAATACCAATGAGTCCAGTCCTCATTTATTTGTTAACTTGCTCTCTTACTAAAGGGCCAGCCCACCTCCTTTTCTAGTCATAATTCTAGTCACAAAGACCAATGCCATAAGATTCTCTCCTCATTGGTGGAGATGGATGTCTTGCCTTGCATGAGGGGAGAGTGAGACTTGGCGAGAGCAAAAGAGCCACAGCCTTCTTCATTCTTCTTTGGTGCCTTCTTCAAGTTTCGAGTTGCTTCCAGTGTCAAGAAGTAAGACTTCCTTCAGCAACCTGAAGTTGAGTTGCCTTCTTCCATCCTTGCAGTCATACAGCATCGCTGGGAAATTATCAATATTAAAAAGTTGTGCTTCTGTGATAACCAGCTTCTTTATCTTCAGGTCATCATTCTGTGGACTAATTTAAAAATTCAGAATTGAATTAGAAGATTATCAATAACTAATCAGTGCAATGTAAGTTAACTATAAACAGCTAAGTTGTAAGCTAAAATAAGTAGAGTAGCAGTATACCAACAAATTGAATAGTTGGCCTTGTGAATTAGTGTAGCATGTCTTGCAGTAGCAGATTGATTCAAAAGCCAGAGATAAAGCATACCTGTTTGCTCCTTGTTAACCTTTTATTTCACTGCTTTATAAAGTGAGAACTCAGAAATTATAGCAGCATCTGCTTCTGTCACTTCTTTGTCTGTAAATTAATTTGCACCAAGGCATCTTGAGAAAAATGGTTAAAGCAGGAAAGCTCTAATAGAGAAGGGATAAAATTAAATGGGGGTGTGGAGAAGAAAGTTCAGAATACAGCTGTACTGTCATGCAAAAGCATAAAATATTTTATTCACAAATATGCGTGTGGAACAAAGGTTAAATAGTGCTATGAGACATTATACTGGCATGGAAAGTGGCAAGGACAAAAGAGCCAGTAAACCATTTTTTCCTCATAGATCTTTGTTATGCATTCTATTAAGTGTCTCTACTCCCAGTAAATCTCATACAAAAAGATTATTACAGTTGGTCAAAGTATGGGCTAAATAGAGTGAAGAGTAAGCAACTTGCACAGAAAAAAATGTAGTACTTACACATAATTTGAACTTGTGTGTCAAAGCAAATACTTTTCAAAGAGAGGAAACATATTGTTGGTTATGTATAAATAACAAGTCAAAACATATCTGGGATCGAATTTATGGTCAGCTCAAAACTAGACTGTCAGGCAAGAAAACAAATTAAATACAAATAACTAGATCTTATGTTGACTCAGCAAATTGATACATATACCTGAAATGGAACTGGGTTGACCCCAAGTATGTCAGTGCTAATTAGTTATATTTATAGAGCCCTTGCTGCAATGCATGATCTTTCTGTTTAGATTCTGCTTCATAGTGCATAAACCCCTACTGAAGGGGAAAAAAGGAAAATTAAAAGACATTATACATACATATGCATGTATATATATGTAAATGTATTTTTATATGTATACATGCACCTTTTGATTTTATTCTAGCCCACTTCTCTCTATGGCAGTCAAAACCTAGAAACTTTAGGACTCTTCCTCTCTTTCCTGTGCCTCCCCCTTTTCTTGATGAACTGAAATATGTTTCTTGGTTCTACTACATTTCTCTGGTGATCAATCACACACTAAGTTCCTCTGGGCTTAGTACAGGGATTGATTAGTAATCTATTGACATCCTCTTTTCAGTAACAATCATTTTATGTTTTTGATTATTGCTAATACTCTTTTACTATATGAAGAATATTGTTGATAGACTAAATGTGTTTATAATTTCATGGTGTAGAGCAGAGGAGTTAAACACGTAGTCCCATGGCCCATAAACTTTATGTGGCTACAAGACTCCTAACTGGCCCAAACCAGATTAAATGTAATTGGGAAATATTTTACAGAGTAAGTAAAAATATAATAAAATATAGATAATATTAATATTGTGCTTTTATAAGTTAATATGCAATCTGTAAGGAGTCTTATGCATGGTTGAATGGCCTCTGTTTCTGTTGGAGTTTGACCTCCCTGGTGTGGAGGACAGACGTAAGATGTTGACCTAAGACCTTGGGTTCCACTTCTAAAATATACTCTCTGTGGGACACAAGGCAAATGGCTTATCTGCTCCATGCTGTAGATAACTCTCTAAAATTATAAATAATAAAGAAAGTGCTAGTCTGCTTTGCTAGAGGGAGTTTCCTCATCTGAGAATTCTCTCTTTAGAGAATACCAGTAAAATCACAGGGCCAGACCCTATATCAAATATGAATTTCCTCTTGCAGTCCATCTGGTCGATGGTTTCAACTTGTAGTTCACTTTGTATTGACTTATATTGACTTTGTATCTTTTGTCAATGAGCTGAGAATTTCCCCTATTAGTTCAAAATCTACCTTTATTAAATAAATGCCCATTATATTCCAGGTACTGTACTAGTTACTAAGGACACACCTGGGAGATAGCTGCTATTAATGTAGCATTTTGCAGATGAAGAAACTGAGGCAAACATATTAATGACTTGCCCAGGGTCATATAACTAAAAAAACTGTCTGAGGCCAGATTGGAGTCAGATCTTCCTGATATCAGACCAGGCACTCTATCCACTACACCACCTAGCTGCCCGTTTATTAGAATGAGTCTCTCCAATGTAAAAGTAACTGGTTAGAAAATTTTAAAATTCTATCAAAATGAATATTTCTTATGGTGAGCAAAAATTGCTGTTTCTTTATTTCATTTTTCCCTTTCTTTTAACTGAGTTCTCTATACAGTCTGTTTGTTCCTATAGGTCCAACCTTGAACTATCAGTATAGGTAATAGGAAAACCATTCTTTAATTGTACCTCAAGGTTTCTGTTCATTTAAAAAAAAAGGTTTGTTTTTAATGCTTTGTAATGTATGGTTTTGTTTTAACTTAACTGGTTTTTATTGAGAAATAATATATCTCTAAGTAGTGTGTAAATCTGTTACTGCTGACTATGGGTCCAAGAACTTTGTGGAACAACAATACGACTAAAGATAAATAGCTTCTAAATGTACAGTTATTTATTTTAATTAAACTGTTCATAAAAGTTTGTGTGTGTGCACTAAAACATAGGAGACAATATGACAGTTGAAAGTGGATTGTACTTGGGGTCAGAAGTCCTGGGTTCAAAGCCTAACTCAGATATATTTATTCAGTATGTGACTGGACGATTAATTTAATCTTTTAAAAGCCTCAGTTCCACGTCCGTAATATCGGCATGAGATTTATGCTGTCTCCCTCATAGGGCTGTTGAGAGGAAAATGTTTTGCAATGCTTAGTGTGCTATATAAATGTGAGTTATTATTATAGGGCATTCAAAAGAAACTATTATTTTTATAAAACCATTTTCTATTAATTTTCTCTTTGAGAAAATGCTATATACTCATCTCTGATATATAGGATAAATAGTTGGGTCTATTTCCTCCTCTAACAAACGACGAACGGATGTTGAACTCATACTGTGCTGAGTTCTAATTGGTTGTTTTAGCTTATTAGGTTTGGAAGTGTTAAATACAGAGCCTGACAGCCATTGAAATTAGGGACAGTACTAAGCAAAAGTTATATGGAATGTAGCTAATGAATGACACATAGCATGCCCAGTTTTTGATAGTGTCCTTTACTTACGGCATATAGGGAAAATTATTAATTTGGTGATATAGTCTGTTTTTATTCTCTGCCTTCTCTTTCACATTTACTTTACCTTATACCTTTATGTCATTTTCCCCCTAATTGACAATCACAGAATTCCTCATTCATCTCATGTCCCAAAATCTATTTCATGGTTCAAAGTATTTTTCCAGCAAAAGTAAATAGCTTCATAGAAAACTCTGTGAAGGAATGTGATCCAACCAGGGCCATGAAGGTTAAGAACAATTCTGTTTGGGACACATTTGGAGTTATTTACTTGCTTCTATGCTTTTAGAGATCTGTGATCACATTGGTGTGCATATGATATTCTGTTCATTAATGTAGTCTGCAACTACTTTTCATTTTAGTAGATAATCTTCATAAATTATGGTTGAAAAACTATTAACTCATCTCTTACTTTTAGTACTTGCCTATTCTAGTCCTTGGATGACTGGCTCAGAGTATATCTCAAGACCTATATTTGGAGCCCTTTTATCTGCATAAGACCTACCAGAATTTAGGCTCCACTGGAATAGTCTTTGAGAACATAGGGTCACTGTCATTCCACAATGAGGCAATAATATATGACTTTATGACTTCAGCGGAGCTACTGTTTACATATTTACAATTACAAAGGTGGTTATAATGGAGTTACAGACAATTTAGTATTTTTGGCTTATTCTTAAGAAACAAAGTGTAGGCATATATTTTCAAATTATAATTTATCGAAGTACTTGCATATGACCTCATAACTATGAATTCCACATCAAGTCTCCTCAGAAGTGACAGACCAGGACTTGTGTTTATGAGATTATGACTCAGATATAAGCAACACAAAATAATAATGGTTTCCTCATTTTGGTTGAAGGCATCCTGGCTTAATCAAGAGAGAAATTGCCTCAGAGTCAGGAAAACTTAATTCTTGTCCTACTACTAATATGTACTGATTTTGTGACCCTGGGCAAATCACTCAAACTCTCATCATCTCAGGAATCACTCCACAAGTTGTAGAGAAAATGAAAATCTATATTAACAGAGAGACATGCACTCCAGGAGGTCCCCATTCATAATTCAGCCAGAACACAAACACACACACACACACACACACACACACACACACACACACACAGACACACACACACACACACACACACACACACAAAACCCCTATGATATTGAGTTAAATGATCAAGTCATAGAACTGTTCCTTTGGTCCATATGCGTTTAGCTCTTGATACCATATGACATGACTTCATTACAGTTTTGTCCCTCATTCTATACTTATTATACAACCTGAGTCCCCTTGATTTCTAGAAACAATTCCTGGCTTACAACTATTTCAGATTAATTTTTTTTTTCTGGAACCTCTTTTGCAATCACTGCAGTAATGCAACTTTAACTCAAACATCTGAAGAAAATAAAATTAGTCAATGGTCAGTTAACCAATATTTCTTCTGTTCTCATTCTGGAAATAGTGTCTTTGAAATTATTTAACAATACCAAAGAAATGGGAAACAGCATGACAAAATCACTTATTTGGAAGGGGCCCCAGAGGCCATTTACTCCATCCCATCCCTGTATAAGAATGGCTTCTACATGCTATCTTATTTGTGACATACCTGAGACATACCTGAGAATGTAGAATCTACATGGCATTAGTTATTATGGTATTTACAAAGATTCAATATTATATGAATTCATATAAATAAGAAGTTTCCTATTAGCTTACATTATAAAAACAAAGAAATTGTTCCATAGAAAAT